TGAAATGTATTTAATATCTAAAATGAAAAAGAAAAGTAATTAACATTTTTATTGTCCATATTGGATAAAAGAAGAAGAAATAGTTATTATTATTGTACTTGATTAATATGAACACAAATTATAAAGAAAAGAAAAGAAAAACAAAACACAGAAAGAATATGTAGTTTATTTATTTTAAATTAAAAAAAAAGAATAATAATAATAGAAAATTGTACATCTGAAACGAAAAAGAACATCGAATGATTATATTATACAGAAGCAGGATGCCAACACATTACACTTGATATATAATTATAAGTGTCAACCATTCCAAGAATTAGAATAGAAGATCTAGAACGAGAAAAAAACAGGTAAAAGTAAATCAAATGAATATAACATTATTGTTGTTGATCGATGTTAACACACATTCTAAACAAGAGAAAAGAAAACTAGATGAATATAGAGTTTATTTAAGTTAGATACAAAACATGATTAGATAATTGTAAGTTGCACCACTGAAATGAAAAAAAAAGTATATTGTTTATTTTAAAAATTACTTATACTTGTACAGTGTTTTGATTATTAACGTTTTGTCAACCGTTCAAAAAAAGAAAAGAAAAGTAGAAAATCTAGAACAAAAAAAAGGAAAAAAGTAAATCTCGGTATAAAAAGATTTGATGTAATAATAAATTTGGACTATATTTACTATTTGACAACTAATAACATTACTGCTGCTGATCGATGTGAACACGCATTCTAAAACAAAAGAAAAAATTTATTATCTTGTTTCTATATGTTAGTTACATAGAAGAAAAGAAAAGAAATATTGCCATTTGTATAATATCAAATTGCACCACCGAACGAAAGCGAAAAGAAAATATTGGATACTTACTTATTGTTGGTTTAGATTATTTGATTGTCCATGATCGATTCGAGAATACAGTCTAAAAGAAGAGAAGAAATTTATGTTAGATACCAAGAATATAGAAATTGGAAAATTGTAAGTTGCATCTCTAAAACGAAAAAAGAATTTGTTTCTTAGAATATTTACTATAATAGTTATGTTTAATTGAATCGAAGACACTCAATAATCAAATTGCACAAGAATATCATACTCACACATACAGTTTGACTCTTAATCTTTTGTCAACCGTTCAAAAAACAAAAAAATATAGACGATCTAGAACAAAAAGAAGTAAATCTGGAATATATTTAATATTTGCATATACTTACATTTATAAAAAAAAAGGATAATTATCTTTCAATTCACCGTTGGACAAGTCAAACAAGAATAGCAGAATAACATATCTTATTGCTGTTGATCGATGTGAATACATTCTAAAACAAGAGACTAAACAAAAGTAAAATATATAAGAATGAATTGTAATTTGTGGAATTATAACTTGAATGATTGAAATGAAAATAAAATATTAAAATATTTAATGATAGATATTGCAGATTGATTCTTCTTGATAGAAACGCGCACACAGACCAAATAAGAGAAGAGAAGAAAAATTAATATGTATTTTATTCATGTTAGATAACATAAAAAAAATATTGTAATTTTAATTCGTTTTATCCCAACTTGTACATCTGAAATAAAAAGAATAGAAAAAATATTATTTATTTAAATACTTATCTAGAGTTATTTTATACTGATTGTTCTTGATAGATAGAGGAACAAATTCTAAAGAAGAGACAACACAAATTTAATATATAGCTTATTTAAAAGTTAGGTAAAGGAGAAATAAAATAAAATCATTGTACTTAGGATGATTTCAACTTGCACCCCTGAAAACGAAAAGAAAATATTTGATACATGCTTATAGTTATTTGAGATTATTTGATTGTTCATGATCGAAACGCGAATACAGTCTAAAAACAGAGAAGAAATTCATGTTAGATACCCAGAATATAGGAAATCGTAAAATTGTAATTATCACCACTGAAAAAAAAAGAAAAATGTGTTATTTATTTGCAAAAATGTCATATACTTATGTTGTTGGGTTGAATCGGCGACGTTCAATGATTAAGTTTCACAACAAAACATTATATACCCATTTATACACTTTGATTCTTAGCCATTGTTATAACCGTTCAAAAAATAGAAAAAGTAGAAGATCAAGAACAAAAAAAGGAAAGAAGTAAAGCTATAAAAAGATTTGATATAATAAAAAAATTATCTTTCAATTCACCGTTGCACAAGACAAACAAGAAACGCGAATAGTGGACAAGCATTCTAAACAAGAGAAGAAACAAATATAGAATCTATAGTTTATAAAAGTCAGCTAAAAACTAAAGTGTAATTTGTTAAATTAGAGGATCCACCAACTGAAACGAAAAAAAAGTAAAAATATTATGCATTTAAAAACACTTATCTAAAGATATTTTGTATTGATTGCACTTGTACTGGTAGAAAACGTCAACACATGCCCAACAAGAAAAAAAAGACATGAATCTAAGTTATTAAATTATATTAGACAAACGAAAAAATACGCATACTCATTTGTATAATTCACAGTGCCACATCTGAAAAGAAATCAAAATAATATTTATTGGAATACTTCACTAGATTTATTTCAGATTGATTCTCCTTCTCGATACCAGAACACATTCTAAAGCAGAGAAAATCAAACGAAAAAAATATATATTTCAGTTTTGAAACGTAAAATAAAATGAGTCTAACTTGAATAGTTCCGACTTAAACCTCTGAAACCAAAATAAAATCGGGTATGAAACCAATTCTAATTATACAATCATTGTTCTTGATCGATGACCATGACATCCCTAAAACTAGAAGCGAACAAAAAATGAACATACACTTACCTCATGTAAGATAAATGAAACAAAAATTCTGCCCTGGATCAACAGGCAAATCATAATCATACCCAACCAGCACGCCAAAACAAGCACACGCTTAAAGACTTTCATAAACACACCGAATGCCATGAGAAATGACAACGGCCACTATTTAGGACTTTCAGCAGCACATAGTATGTCATCAGAAATGACACAGACCACTATTTAGGACCAACCCAGCAGCATGCTATGTCATGAGAAATGACAACGACCACTATTTAGGACTTTCAGCATCACATGCAATGTCATGAGAAATGACAACGACCACTATTTAGGACTTTCAATAACACATGGTATGTCATGAGAAATGACAACGACCACTATTTAGGATTTTCAACACCACATCGTGTGTCATGACAAACGACAACGACCACTATTTAGGACCTTCAGCATCACATGGTGTTAACGGTGGATGATACCACTGGCCCCTGGATTAAACTTCTTTAGTATCTAATGTATCTGTCCTTTTTCTCTTCCTATATTTATCATTTTTATTCTCTCCTCTCTCTTCTCTTTCTTTTCTCTGTATATATATACATATGGGTGTTTTATAAAGTGGAAGATCTAAAATAAATGTAATGGTCGAACACGACAAGCTAACATTGGTGCCGTGACAGGTCTTCTTCTAATTCCTCCAACGACGAAGAACCAGTTAGTAATTAAAACTGAGTCATCCCTAACGGAACGAGAGATTTACAATCTCATCTTTATATTGGAAAAGAGTCAGAAAGTATAAGTATTATTTTTAAGAAAAAAATTTATTTATTAGTAGAAGATATACGTATCTTCCACATACATATATAGGTCGAGTTTTTTTGTCCTTCTTTTAATTGCATTTTTTTTCACAACGGCGACCGGTACTAGAAACACGATCAAACGAATTGGTGCGAATCTTTTACCATATGAAATAATTACAAATTCACCAACAAGAATCAGAAGTAAAAAAACCAGCAACATGTCACTTATGCAAGAAATCGAAACTAATTTAATGGAAACTCGTCAACTTCATTCAAGTCAAAAAGAAGCAATTAAGAAGGTAACTGAATTTTCAGGAGAATCTAATGCAATTGATATAGATGAATGGTTGTGCGATTTAAACAATTTATTTTCATTAATGAAATAAAAAGATGAAACAAGAATTCTGGAAACGATGGGTAAATTAGCAGGACCTGCAGTGAGATGTTATCAAGAAAATTTAAGATAATTCATTAATTGGAACGATGCGGAAAAGGCATTACGCGACCGGTTCAAAGAATTTACATCTGACAGTCAATTAATGCAAGAATTCGTTCACATTCATCAAGAAGAAAATCAATCGGTTACATCATTTTACGAACACGTTATTCGAAAATACAGAAAAGCTCGACAATGCATAACCGAACAACAAGTTATTACAGTTTTACAAACTGGTGTAAAAAATTCATTAAAGGAATATTTAATTCGAAATGAAAAAGACATCACGAAACCAGATGAATGGCTGCAATATGCAAGACAAGAAGAATACATACAGAAACGAACTCAACAACAACGTAATAATTTTTATTCTGAAACAACAAACCAACCATTCTTTGAACCTATGCTGCAAACAACAACGATTCAATCAAGATCATTGAACGCCAAATCATTAGGTCAACAACCAATTACACCACATCATAATTATCAGCAACAACATCAACACACAGCAAAATTTAATAATAATCGTATGAATGAAAAACAAATCCGACATCCAAATATCAAATCAAGTCGGCCATCCTATCCGGAAACAAAAATGCACCGATCAGAGTCATGCTTATTCTGCAATCGAAAAAACCATTCGACCATGAACTGTTTTTATAAGAAGGACAACGGCTGTTTTAAATGTGGACAATCAAATCATCGAATGCGCGATTGTCCTGAACAACATTTTTTCGAATAAGGGGATCGGAAGATGGCGACGATCCCTGTGGAGAAAAAAAGTCATCAATAACAAAAACATTCCATCCAATTTTTGTAAAAATTATATGTAACAGCACTCCACAAGAAGCACTTATAGATACTGGATCGGCCATCACTATTATACATGAATGCTTATTAAAAAATATCCTACATAAAAATTTAATAAAAAAAACAAAAAATCATTTATCAGCAAATTGTTCAACATTAAATGTTATTGGTGAAACAACATTAGAAATTAATATTCATGGATTAAAGACAGAAGTGATTGCTGATGTGGCAACCAATTTAATTACAGATTTAATATTAGGTAGTGATTGGATCCAACGTAATAAAGTTTATATCTTAACACCAGAACAACGAATTATGATTCGAAGTAAAGGCAAAGAAGTATCAACTCCGTTTATAACACCACCCATATTAAATTATCCAGCGACTCTTACTAATCATATCACTATTCCTCCTTTTTCAGAACACATGGTAGAAGCAAAAGTTCCACAACACAATAGGATAGATGTATTATTCGAACCAAATCCTCGATTAAAAAACAAAGCCTTATTTATTGCAAGTGCATTACTCCACATTGAAGATAAAAGAATTAGAATTAGTATAATTAATGCAACGGATCGACAGCAAACACTTTCCAAAGGAACGAAGCTAGGCATAGCAACGCAAATAGCTGCCTCAATAGGCGTTACAATGCCATTAAATAATGTACAAGAACGCATTCCGAAAGGAAAAGCGTACATAAAGCTCATTCAAAAAGGGAAAGAAGCGAACATTATTAGTAGACTAGAGTCAAAAAATATGCAAATGATAACATCACCTGAAGAACAACATCAATGTCGAGAATGTAAACAATATTTCGATACTGGAAATGAATTATTTAAACACCTTCGAATTAAATGTTATTCGGAGGAAATACGCGAACAAATTAACTGAACATGTTAATGATGATAAACAACGTGAGCAAATGTCAAGAATTTTATGGAAGTATGGAAAATTATTCGACATTAGCGAACCGCCAAAAATTGATATAACTTTAAAAAATGCTATTGACACTGGTACACATCGACCTATTCATACTCCACCATATAGAAAATCCAACAAAGATCAAGAAACCTTAAGGAAAGAAACAGATAAATTAATGGGGAGCGGAATTATTGAACATTCAACATTTCCATAGTCATCACCAGTCGTATTAGTAAAAAAGAAAGATGGGACAATGAGATTTTGCGTCGATTATCGTCGATTAAATCAAATTACAACAAAAGATGCATTTCCTCTACCAAGAATCGATGATATTTATGATCAGTTAACAAAAGCAACACACTTTACTAAATTTGATTTCAAATCAGGATACTTTCAAGTACCATTAGATAAAGCAGATCGACCGAAAACAGCATTCTCCACTCGAGATGGACATTTTCAATTCAAGGTATTACCACAAGGACTTACAAATGGACCACCAACTTTTCAACGTATTGTTAATCAAATATTAGGTCCAAACCGATGGAAACATGTACTTGCCTACATCG